TGACCCTGAAACCAGTGCCAAAAGAACACACTTTGTCCCTGGAATCAGAGTCAGTGAAAGAAATGCACCCTGGCCCGAAAATTGGAGCTAAAAGGCTAAAAAGGACCAGAGAAAGAAACACACTTTGGCCCTAAAACCAGAGTCAAATCTTACTCTAACCCTGTGCAGAAAACTAACCAATCCTTGAGCAGGAGCTCTAGCCAATCTGAGCTCAACATTAAAATTTGACTAATCCCCACCCTGGAAGCCCTATATAAACCCTGTGTTTATTCTTCTTGTGGCTGTTCCTGCTAACCTGCTGTCCTCTGCCACTGTGGCAGAGGGCAGCTCCTCTCCTGGGTTCTTCCCTCCCAACAAACCCCTTCAATGAGCTTTGGGTGAAGATCTTCTTTTGAGGCGGCAGTGGCAATGGAGCAGAGGCGACCCTAAGCAGAGCAGAGCGAGCAGGGCTGTTTAACACTTTTGCTGGGAAAACCTTCCTCTGGCAGAGTGGAGTCATTACACTCAGCTCTCCACTCTCTGCTCTCTGCTCTCCACTCTCCATTCTCCTGCAGCAGAGCTGAACTGTAGCAACTTTGCCGGAGCAACCTCCTGCCAAGCAAAACTGCTACACTGGAAGAACATCCCCAGCTGGAAGACCCTGTCCTGCCAGAGTGGAGCCAATACACTGGGAAAGCCTTTCCCTGAGGCCGGGCTGTAAGCAGCTAAGCTTACTGCAGCCTGTGGTGGTCATTGGCTCCTGAGCTCCAGGATACCTTTCCGCCTGAGCTGTGTAACACTCAGTGTTCTGTGACTCCCGAGTGCCAGAATACCTGTCACATCCCGTTCTGCCCAAAATGCCTACACTGGCAGTTTCTGGTCTCATTCATGCCTTTTCAAGCTGCCAACTTTTCATGGGTGGCCAGGTGGTCTAAGAGGGTCTCCACTCTATGTGTCACTGGATATTACTCAATTTCTGGTCTCTCTCTCACACAACAGGCTGGGGTTTCGTTAAAGAAACATTGATTGGTTTGGTTCTAAATCCAGCTAAGTAAACAACCCTAGTGCTGAAGTGTTTGTTAGTGTGGTGCTTGCAACACTTTGCTAATTGCAAAGTCAAGGCAAACCCAGTGCTCAGGTTCATTTATGCTGGTAGACTTGATTAAGTGGGAGCGGTTGCTGCCATGATTTCCTAGAGGGTGCAGTAAGTTCATCGAAATGACCTTCCTTGTTTCATGTGTCACTCTAGTCACTCACTGCCCTTGACCAGACGAGACAACCTCATGACAGCAGTTACAGTTTACTACAGTTTTCTAGGAGTTTGGTTTAGTCTTGACTGGTGACAAAGATAGAATTTCCTTCTTTTTCAAAATGAGAAATTAAGGTCAGGCTCAGACACTGAAATATGTGAAAATCAATATTTCACTAGATTTGTTGTGGTTCCCACATTCATAGCCAAAAATTAAACTGAAGAAAATTATCTTTATAAAGTAAGTATGGAAAGTGTCTGTAACTATGAAAATATAGCAAATAATGACAGTAATACTGACATTTCTCAACTTTTCATACAAAGACTAGAAATATCAAAAGAGCACAAAACACACTTTATGGTGGCAAGTTAAAGATAATTATAGCCCATTGTTTATAATTTGAACTCAAAAAGTCCTTTGAAATAAATATGGTTCCAAAAATGAACATTGTAAGTCTCTGTTCTGTAAAGCATCATGCCCTAAGACTGTTTCAAACCAGTTTATCAATTGTCAAATACTCTAAAGAAGAAATATATATGCAAAGACAGGCTTGATCTTCTACTTGGAAGCTTGCAATTAGAGTACATCTGAAAGCAACTGGAATAGGTGCCAAAAGTCTGTCCCCAAACTACTTTGCTGCATTCCCAGTACACTGGTTGCTCTTTCACATCCAGTGGCAATCGTTTCTGTGCCTAAACATCCCCTCCCCCATTTCTATTGGGAGTCCTGTGAAATACGACTCCTCTGAGCAGCCTTCCCTAAAACTCCCAAATGCACGTGTCCTCCCTGGGTCCAGCTACAAAACTTGTCTTCTATGGCATCAGCTTCTAGCCGTTGGACTGGTATCCTAGGAGCTGGCTCTCCATATCCCACGTGAGCTTGGGTTAGGTATCACACCTTCACATAACAGGCCCTCACACCGAGAGAGGAAGATCAATTAGGATGAGATCAATGAGGAGAGGAAGTTGGGAAATAGGAACTGGGAGAGAAGGGAGGGAATGGAGAAGCAAATTAGGAAGGAGGCCAGGGAGGAGAGGGGTGCTGGTCCCCAGTGCCCCGTCTCTTCTGCTGACTCTCTTGCTACCCCACTGTCAGAAGCTCTTCATGTATGACCCCCATGCTGTCAAGAATGAGTTCCAGATTTGGAGGCTGGTTTGTAGATGAATAATTTGCCTTGACTTGAAAGATAATTTTTGCAGCAGTCTTCTTATTTATAACTTCAGAATGTTTGAAAGAAGATAAAGGAGCAGGAAGTTTGCATCCATCTTTCTGAGCTCCTGGGTCTTGTCAGTCTTGTTTGACCTCATCCTTGCTTGGGGGCCATGCTAATCTCTGCATCGTTCCAATTTTAGTATATGTGCTGCCGAAGCGAGCAGAGGAAGGGGCAACAGGTCTGGACCATTCTACAGTAAGATAATACCATGTGTATTAGTAGAAATGAGTTAATAACTAAAACAGAGCTAGCCAATAAGAAGCCCTAACCATCGGCTTTTAAAGATAGCATCTGTGTGCTTATTTGGGGCTGAGAAGGGCTGCAGGATCTGGCGGGACAAGAAAAACTCTAGCAACAGAGGGGACCCTGAGAAGGAGAAAGGAAGGAAGAGTGACACAATAAAAAATACCAATTTTACCCTCACGGGGTCATGGCAAATGTTTAAGACATACTGTCCATGGTTTTTAAAGTATTTGTAAAACTCATTTAGTATAACCATGATATTACACCCTATGTATAGAGCAGGAATACTAAGTACCTCTTCCAGTGTTGTTATTGTAGTTAGGAATGAACAATGTAAAAGCAGAGTCAAGTGTCTAGAATCCCTCAAGTCAGAGGATCAGCCACCACCCTTTCTTCCCTCACACTAAGAAGGGTTTCCTTTATTGGCTTCATCGAGGCCACAATGGAGAGGGAAAATGCAGTTTGCAAAGGTGGTTGGGCATATCTCATCTGTTTATCTAGACAGCCTAGACTTTAGAATTCAATACTGAAGACATTACTAAGCTAAGCACTTGAGACTCTCATATTCTGCTTATAAAAGAAATGCTTTCTCTGAATTTCTTCAGTGTGATGCTTCCAGCTTATCTAAGAGATACCAGATGCAACACTCCTAGAGATCTAGTTCTGTTTTTCTGGTTCTTGCACGGGATCCTGGTTCCTGCTGGACATGGTAAGCAAACATGCTCACAGGGCATGGCTGCCAGTGAGGAACAGACTTTGCAGTCAACCACACCTTAATTGGAAGTGTTGCTCAGTAAGGGGTAAAGCTCATTGCCATTCTCCAAGACTGCTTTGTCAATAATGGGACCGTCCCTAGTGACAGACTTATGGAGATCACAGGAGAAGATACTGGAGAAACAGTAGATGCCTGCCACATAGACCTTGCCCCATGCATTCCAGCAAAATAGAGTAGAGCCCAATCCCCAAGTGCAAAGCAATTCTATCAGCTCTGCATTCTAGGGAGATGCTGCCTGTTCTAAAGTGTTAGCAGAGCTCCCTTGTGCAGATGATAAGATTTACATTTGGCTTTGGAAATGCCCAAGATTAGAGATAAAATGCCACCTCAAGATAAGCAAGTTTGTGGAATTCTGTGACTTGGTGATCTGTAGTGAGACACTGCTCCATTCTGTCTAGTTTCCTTCCCCTTCCTGTCATGAGAAATGCATTATTATCAGCTGATCCTGGCAGCTCTGAGCTAAAACAAAGACAACAAATAAATAAATGTTTTGTTTACATCCACATCTACTGAGGTATCCAGAAAGGCTCTTCCTCCAAGGCCCCAACCACCTGCACTGAACTTGATCCACAGGCAGTGTGACTTAGACAAGGTGACTGAATTAATATGTGAATACTGAATATAGAACATATGATCTGCAAGCCCTGTAGACAATAATACCATTCTTTTTTTTTTTTTTTTTTTTTTTTTTTTTTTTGGTTTTTCGAGACAGGGTTTCTCTGTATTGTTTTGGAGCCTGTCCTGGAACTCACTCGGTAGACCAGGCTGGTCTCGAACTCACAGAGATCCGCCTGCCTCTGCCTCCCGAGTGCTGGGATTAAAGGCGTGCGCCACCAACACCTGGCAATAATACCATTCTTATTCTAGAGATTTAAGCAAGCGCTTCTGGATTACTTCAAATTTATTTGAAATTGGAAGTGCGTATTTTCTCCCTCATTCTTCTCCCAGGAGAAAAGCTTAAGCTGTGGATGACAGTGAATTCCCCATGTGTGGCCCAAGAGGCACCTACAAACATAGGACCTGCATTAGAAAGAGGCATGCTTGGAGCCTGCAGAAGTATGAAGGGCACAGAGCCCGTTGCTGCCACTGCATTAGGAGAGAGTGCTGTGTATGGTCTGAGGAGGAGCTGGGCTCCTTGAATGCCCAGTTCAGCCCTGTCACACTGCCCCCACCCCCAGAGAGCATCCCAGTGACAGAACACTACCTCAGTCACATGGATAGAGAAGGAATGTTCTATGCTTTCAGTTGTTTCCTTTCTAAAATGCCTTATTCTAGAAAACACTTTAGATGGAGATTCTGTATAGCCAGAGCTTGGGCAAGCAGAGCCTCCGGGGTCCTCAAAGCAAAGGAATCACCTTGTGTCTCTCAGTTCATGAAGCTAGCACTTTTTCATCGGACTTTTTTGGCTGTGCACCTGAGCAGCTGTGGCTTCTGTCCTGCCCCATAACACACATCTTTAGATTCAGCATAATGTATCTCATCTTCTCTAGAATAGTAAGAGCTAGACCACACCCATTAGCTGGACAGGCAATTATTAAGTAGCTGTAATACATCCAAACACTCTTTGTTGGTTATAAATGCTTTGGACTTGTAAGAGTCTTCATTTATATGGGTTTAAATATAACATATACATACAGACATGAACTACTTGCAAAGGTGCCAGTATGAGTTGAACTTACAATTTCAAAATATTTCTTAGTTGTAAGAAGTAGTTTGAGTTTTCTTTCAAATAGTCATTAATATCCATTAGTCAAAAAAGTTGCCCCAAAGTCTAAGAGGCAGGAATGGAAATGTTAATTGGTGGGTTAATGCTAATTACAAGGAAAGCTGCATAAACAGGGCTGAATTGTGATATTCCCAAGGATTCCAATCCAGGATGCTTTGTTCCAGTACAGCCAGTACGAGCAAATAGGTTGGAGATTTACAGATATTTGCATGGTTCTCTTTCTGGCAAATGCAAATTGCCTAAGAAAATAAAAAGATCTAAAAATTGCATCATGTCAGATGACAATGAGAGCAGGTGAGAGCACGATTTGCCTGCCCGCATCTTCGCCTCTCAGCTCGGGAACAAGAGAGCTTCCTTCTGCGCTTTTTCCTTTCATATGAAATTATTTTAGTCAGAGGATCCTTAAAAAGAAGTCTCAAATCTACCTTAACTTCTCAGCCTTTAATTAATGTTTTAAAAGTTAATTTAAAAGGACAAGTGGAGCTGCTGGTACACGGGAGGATATGCACTATTCACGAGAGGCTGGTACACGGGAGCATATGTGCTATTCACGAGAGGCTGGTAGACAGGAGGATATGCACTATTCACGAGACGCTGGTACACGGGAGGATATGCACTATTCACCAGAGGCTGGTAGACGGGAGGATATGCGCTATTCACGAGAGGCTAGTTTCTATTTTTAACCACTTACCCTGGAATACAAGCAAAAACATGCAGAATTATGGATCATAAAGCTGTTTCCTCCAGGACAGCATTAAGTGGTATTAACCCTCTGCTACACCCACCGGAGAATGTTGAGAACATGAAAATCGCAGATCATTTTGTGTCCATATCTAGCATACAGCTTGACATGGACAGCACAATGAGTGACTGAAAGCTAATTGAGTGAGAGAAACACAGGAAGCTGTCTTAGCTGTCCCCTTTGCTTTAAAACGATGATCCGGAGGAGAATTAAGTTAAAAACATTGTATTTTAATGATTAATGTCTAATTTAATGTTCAAAGAGACCTTTACAGTAACCTACCAAATTCTTTTCCAATACTGAAAACCCTTCAGCAAAAAGCTACACATGGAAGGTTTAGGGGAAGAAAGGGAGAAGTGTTGTAATTATATTATAATCTCAAAAATTAAAGAAAAGCATATTAAAAGAAGAGAAATGGCTTTTGCACCTCAGTTTCCTCTCCTCTGTGTTCCCGGATCCAGTCACATTTTCAAATGGCAAAAAAGGTTTTCCATTTCTAGAGGGGATGGACATGTGCATTACTTACTTCTGTGTTGTGATAAAATATTGGATAAAAACAAATGAAAGAAAAAAGTGTTGATTTTTGTCTCAGGGTTTCAGAGGATTCAGACCACGGTTGCTAGGACTCAAGTAATTATGCAAATTCCACAGGCAGCAGAAGAGCTTAGCAGAAGACAGATGCTCACATCCCAGGAGATAAGAAGCAGAGAGACTGAGAGGGGCCAGGAGTGACACAGCGGGGGAGCCTGTGCCCCATGCCTGTTCCCTCCATGTATGCTCCTCTCCACTGGAGAGGGAGCTCTGTCCACGCCTTTTAGCATGGCACTGCACATTCAATCCATAGCCACAGGCTTTCCATTCAGGACAGTCATCATTTGACCTGTGTGTGTGTGTTTATTATAAAAATACAATATATTAAATATATTATATATTTCAGAAGAAAAAGAAAAAAGAAAGGTGTTTTCTTGCTGTCTATTTCAAGTTCAGTTTGTTTTCAGATGTGTCTGCTATCTTCTTGACCTTGTGTGCAATGTGGAATTTTCCCTACTGTTCTGGCTCAATTAGTGACAGGAATAAAGTGAGTACAAATGGATACAATTACCTCTCTTATTGCTTCTCTATATTAAATGAAAAAGAAAACAAACAAAAAACCCTTTGAACCTTACTGAGGATAGAGGAAATTTTTATTGAATAGGATACTATTTTATGTAGTAACTTTTAAAATAGGCAGACTCTGGAAGACCTCACATTTCAAAAGGCAACTTTTTGTTTTGAACCTCCAAACTGTGGTGATGGTAAGCTACCACACCATTAGGATTCTGTAATGAAAATACACCTAAGAGACTGCTCACCTCTCCCAGGGCCTGCAGACTCAGGACAGCTGCTTTCCAAGAGGTGGCATAAGTGATACATAACCCCAGGGGATTCAGTGTCACTGTCCCTGACCAGGACATCCATCAGTTCAGGCTTCCATGTTAGGCCACAGCACTTACCTATGCCATGACTCTGCCCTAACATCCTTAAGGATAGGTTTGGACTGATTACAAGGCATTTCCACTCTCGTTTACGAAGTTTGGCATCTGAGATCAACACCTTTGGACACTTGCAAAATCTCATTAACTTGCTTCCTGCAAGCTTGGATTTTATTATTAGAAAGTTAACCTGTACATTCTTTAT